CAAAACTAAAGTAACGAGCCAATTTTTTAAAATGTAAGGAGTACAAAGTACAGATATTTGTGTAAAAATGTAAGGAGTAGAAGTAAAAAGTCACCATAAAAATAAGTAGTAAAGTAAAGTAAAAATATTAGAAAAATCTACTTGAGTACAGTAACGAAGTATTTGTACTTCGTTACTTCCCATCTCTGTTTATAACTGATAATGGAACTTTTTAGCTTATATTAATCTCATCTATTTTGAATTCTGTTAATTTTTCCAGCACAATCCAGCCAAAACTTCTTATATCTTTTGCTTCTTTTTCCCAACAGCGTTGAATTACCTGCAGAGTTGGATGATCCTTTCTATGACCTTTTAAATTAGCCCAATAATTTTATGTTATTTGCTGTCTTCTAAATGCAAGTGGGATTTCTGCCATTTCTACCAATAAGGCTGCTGTTGGAGTAGTTTTAATTGCTCCTGTACATAATCTCAATGCTTCATACTGAATGCGATCCAGTTTCTGTTGATTTGTCTATAAACAGTGCTTCCATAATCTGTTACTGATCTAATTCATCCTGTATTTATATTATTTAGTGCTATTGTATGTGCTCCCCACTCCTTACCAACTAAGCATCTCATAATATTTAATACTTTCTTGCATTTGTCTAAAACTTTTTGAATGTGTATATTCCATGTCATTTGCTCATCAAACCAAACCCCTAAGATGATGCCACCGCTAATAATGCCAAGAAGAAGAAAATGAAGGGAAAGGAGAGGAAATAACCTTTCTGGGACAGTAGATGGCGCTGTATCCTATTTGGCCATGGTGTTAGCATAGCAGCCAGAGAAGAAGGACGAGGGCATAATTTTATTATGTTTATTTCATTTATTTATTTTTTTTATTTATTTATTTATTATTTCTTAACTTCTATGTCTTGTCTTTCTTAAAGTTATTCTTTCACCAACTGTTGTATATCTATGCTTGATATTTCATTTATTCTGTAATGTTACATGGAATTGCCAATAAAGCATTAAAAATGTTGGGGAAAATTAAATAGTTTGGAAAGTTAAAAAAAATCTATTAATTTATTTTTGTGCGTGTGAGGGTGTGTGTGTCTTGTTTCCTGTTTCTTTAGTCTTTATTTAACTCCTTGTCAGTTGGTGGCGGTAATAAACTTTAACTAGTTTGACAACCGCCATAAAACCTCAAAAGAAGAAGAAAAAGGAGGAGGACCAGGAAGTGGTCTGATCTGAGGACTGGAGATGATGATGATGATGATGATGATTGTGATGATGATGATGTCTCTGTGATGCAGCTTTCAGCAGAGCAGCCAGAGAGCGGGGATCGCTGACAATGAGATGGGGAACTGCTGGGCTTTCTGCGTGGGCCTCTTCAGGAAGGAAGCAAACAGGATCCAGAGAGGAGGCGGGTAGGTAAAGGAGCCGTTAGCAGGCTGAGCTAACTAGGCTGGAAGCTGACCCGCTGTATCCGGCCGGCCGGCCGGTCACTGATAGCTGAGCCCGATAAGTGACACCGCAGAATGTGGGTGAAGGCTTTACAGTAGTGGCCTGATTGGATCAGATGTTTATTTAAACGGGTCAGTAAATGTTTTGGGTCTCAACCTGCAGCTAGTCGGTTGGTCTCTGGAGGAATAAAGACCCCACCCCTATTGTTGACAGCTTGAGTACACAGTGGGGATCAGAAGGTTCCCCTCAGATGGATTTGAAGGTGCTTTATTTCCTTCAGTCTGGATCATATTTTTCCCTTTATTTCACCTCTAAAGCAAACACCATGACTGTCAACCTTCTGGGAGTAACCTGCCCTCCCTCCCCTCCAGCCAGTCCTTCATTACTGTATGTTTATTAATATTTCACTGTTGCACAGTCTGCTAGGAAGCCTCTACCTGGAGATCCCATCACCTCATAATGAAGACATCTCACTGGAGTAATGGAAGAAATGTTTAGTCAATGTGACTTTATCCAACTTTATTAAAGGCCTAAGATAAACAAAATAACTCTATGATGTCCTGGACGGGGCCGCCTTTTACAGCTGCTTTTTGTATCTCTGCTTCTGTCTCCTTGAACCCCAGTCGCCTCGGCAGATGGCCGCTCACACTGAGCCTGGTTCTGCTGGAGGTTTCTTCCTGTTAAAGGGCGTTTTTCCTCTCCACTGTTGCTACAAGCATGCTTAGAGTGAGGGATTGCATTTGAATCAATGAGTCGATGCAATCAACTGGTTTTCCTTAGATAGAAAACTTTGAATCATTCTGACTGGATGATCTGGTGAACTGTAGAGTGCCTTGAGATGACGTGTTGTGAATTGGTGCTATATAAATAAACTGAATTGAATTGATGTTGTCTCTAAATGTGTTTCAGGTCAAAATACTTCAGAAGTACTGCTACTGGAGAGCATTATACAATAGAGGTAGGACCTGTCAGTGTCGCTGATTCCTTTCAGTCGTAAATATTTAATGCAACTTTACTTTTATTGTTTCTTTTATTCTTCTAGTTTGAAAATCTGGTAGAGAGCGATGAGGTGAGTTGATTTAATTTTTGTTTGTTTCGATTTAGTTCTTAGTATCTGATAATGTGATTTCCCAGAAGAATTTCCTTCCCTTTCCAACCTTTTTTAACATAGTTTGCCTCCCTAACAAACTTTTATTCATTTTCGGAGGAAAAAGTTTGGAGAAATATCAATAAAATGTGTTTTACATATAATAAACAGAAATGTTTGTAGTATTGACTCTAGGGCTGCAACAAACGATTATTTAGCAAATTGATTAATCTGTCGATTATTTTTTATTATTTTTTATTAATTGATTAATAATCGGATAGCTAAGACAAATATTTACAAAATTAAAGTAGCAGAAACTAAAACTTTTCCACTTAAGTAGTTCTGAATAGAGCATATTGACAAATTAAAATGTTTTTTATCTTAAATGCAAAATGTTTTTGTTTTTTTACAATTTTGGTATAATTACTGCTTTAAGAGGGCCGCTCTGTCAGCTAAAGGCACGTTTTACAGTCTCTATACTCCATTTAAGGAATGAATGATTAATAAATTAGTTGATGATAATTTCATAATCGATTTATCTAATTAATTAATTCAGCCTTAATTTACTCCTTTTCAGTTCCAACTTTGGGTGTTTTGGTTTAGGTCTCTGCTAGCTTTGAACTTCCATGGAATAAAATCTTTTTCCCATTATTTCTCTGGGCCGATCGGATAGGGATCCATTTAAGGCTGTAGATTCTCTGTCAGATTTAGGACTGGACTTTATACTAGCTCAGTCTAGCACAATATTATGCTGGGATGTTAACTAGAGGTGACCAGATGTTTTAGACTTAAACAACTTTTATTGTCATTTTGTACACACAGGGTGTATACAAAACAAAATTCCGTCAAGTACAGTAAATGAACATTTCAAATCCATAAAGTGCAGCAGTTATCAAATGTAAACAGTGTGGGAGAAAAGGGAGGGAAAAAAAACATGGTGCAAAAAACTCTTAGCAGTGTGATGTGGAGTCTTTGACATGATTTACAGTTTTTTTTTACCACGCTGGCATGAAGATAACATGGATGTTTGGACTTAAACAATATCACTTATTGTTTAATGAAATGTGTTTTCTTGCATGCATTCATACCTGGCTTTATGTTCAGGCTTGAAAACAGGCGTAGTTTCCGGGTTTTCTCTGATTTAGCTCCATGTTTCTTCCCATCAACTCCGACCCTGTCAGGGTAAAGTTGTCCTGATGAGGAAATTTGAATAATAACGATACCCTGGAAAATATTCAATACTGTATACCATATTTTCTTGCTACGGCGATTACAAAATTACAAATTGATTAAAGGCATAAAAAAATAATTTTATTAACATGTTTTACGTTGGAACATGCTTTCTCAACAGGACCACAGCCGAACACTGATCTTTAAAAAGCCCATTTTGACTGATGTAAATTTCTCTTAGTTTATAACTGACACCATCAGTTGTTATGAGATTATAACACACCTTCAGGATCTCCATTCTATTTTACTGTCCATTAGGTGGTGCTCTGAAAAATAAATACAAAGTTTAGAGCATTACCTGTGGGGGATTTTTAGACCTGTGCAGAGCTAGATGAGATCAGTCGATTGGTTTCACATCCAGTTATCGGCTGATCATCGATTTTCCAAAATGGAGGCTGACCAAGTGTGCATATAAAAAAAACAATTTTAACTAAATTTGACAAAGATTTAAGCTTGGAGGAGGTTCTTTTATTTTAAGGTGTAAATAATCCAGAAATCTCAAATTAATATTAGCAAAAAGATGATAACACTTGTCTTTAGTATGTATACTGTGCAGAACTATTTCAATATTCCTAACAGCCATGCTTCAGAATGACCTGCAGTGTTTTCAGTCACTCAGAGGTTTTCATGCGTCCCAGAAGGTTTCATTGCTTGCTGTGTCCACCTTCATGTGACTTGTCTTTTTCTTCTTGACACTCTTCTGTAGAGCTCAGATGTCTGATGGCAACTGCCTGGACTGTAAAGCAGGAGAAAAACTGCAAAAAAAAAAAAAAAATTAATTTGTGTTACACTTTATTTTAAGAGTGTAAAGTTTTTCAACTTTGCCACAGTTTTTGTGTGTGTGTGTGTGTGTGTGTGTTTTGTGATAGTAATGGCAGGTTTGCATTGTGGAATAATACTCTACCTTTAGATGTTTGTGTATGAGAGTTAAAGCTACATGGGGAGACGTCACTGAAAGCAGGACAGCGCAGGACGCCCGAGAAGACTTTTTACTTTCGCATCATCATCAGACCTCTTTGTTGGATATGGAGTGATTTTTGTTCCATTATTGTTGCAAGAAACAGCAAAATTTTTAAAAAATTTTTAAATTTTAATGAATGTTAGATGAAATTGCAATCCAGAAATTAAACATCAAAAAAACGTCTTACGTCTTATGCTGTTTCCTTTTATTTTATTTATCCATTTTCTCTTTCCACATTTGTTTTAGATTTTATCTTACTTTTAAGATTTTTTTTTTTTTTTACAATTTCTTTAGATTTCATAGTTTCAAATCTACCTTTTGTATTTTCTATATATATATATTTTTTTCTTCAGATTGAGTTTTATGAATTGGATTCTTTTAAGTTGCGTTTTACAGATTACTTCACCTCCAATCCAAACAATTGCTCTTGACTAATCAAAAAAAATGCTAATGACGATACGGACAAGTAGAAATTTGTCTTTTCTTCACACTCCAGTGGAAAGAATGTGATCCGTGAAAACTAAACAGGAAAATTCTATTAAATTTACTTTGAAAAATAAAATTGGAAAAATTACATTTTAAAAAGAACACCAAATGTGAGAAAACAGCAAAATTAGCCTCAAAACTTTTTTTTCTTTTTATTTATGGAACCTGTTCTTTGCATCCAATAATGGACCAAAAATCTCCCCATAAATGTGATCCTTATTTTATGATAAAGAAAAATAAGGACATGAATTGGAGCAGATAATTTGTTTTTACTCTGTTTTATAAAAACTAACTAAATGTATTGTTTGCTGCATTGCAGGCTGAGAGCCCACAGCCGTGCCCCAGGTAAGAATTCAGGGTTGAACCTAACGGCTCAGCAGCTGTCCTCCATATTTTAAGGCATCATTGTCGTCCTGTTTTATATTTAGGCCCATCAATGAAGATGAACTGAGTCACCTCAAAGAGCAACGCTACGCCGCTATCTCAGACAAACAAGTCCTGATCGACCAAAAGCTGCAAGCAGAGGTGAGACATTTTAGTTCTTTGATTTTTTTTTTTTTTATATTCCAGCTCCCATTATTTGATTTCATGCCTTTAGTCCCGTTTTGGCTTCTTTTCATTTGCAGCATTGCTTTATTTTCTGTTTTGTAACTTTCTGTTTTGTTTTTAATTTGTTTATTTCTGTTCAGTTAGAGGAACAAGAGGAGAAGTTAAGGCTAGAAGAGGAGGCTAGAAATGCTGCCCAGCGCGAGGCCGCCAGGCTGGCTCGTGAACGAAAAATGAAGGAGGTGAGGCGGCACTGAGCGCTCCCTTCTGCTAGCTTACCTTACTGCGGGGCCAATCTCCTCTAACCTGGCGTCCCTCTATGAGGGCCATTAAAGTCCTCCTCCTTTTTGTTTATGTTTTTGCTGTTTGTGTTTTGTCCTCATCAGCTTGGTTATTCAGGGTTTCCATGGGTCATTAAAAAACATTAAGTCATTAAATTATAATTTTTTCAATTAAGGCCTGAATTGGCATTAACATTAATTAAATGTGATTATTGTGGCATTTAAAATGCTTTATTTAAAACAAAAAAACAATTGCTTCAGTTATATTATATTAGATATAACTGGCCCCGTGTGTTTGCGCGGAACTGCTTCTGGTGGATTGTAAAGCCAAAGCTAGAGAATGGGGAAAATGCACATTTCAACAAAAGTGCCTGAAAAACGAGGAATTCTGCCCATGACTGCAGCCTGTCGATGGTAAAGATGACGAAGGATTTTGCTGTGTTATATATAGCCAATTATTTCTAAGACCATTAAAAAGCATAAAATTAAGAGTTTCTCATTCCTGTATAAACCCTGTTATTACACAAAGCCGCTACGGTTAAATTAGTTATTTGCCTGTTTGCAGTATTTAAATCTTACCAATCTTTTCAAAAAGTTGGTATTAGATGGATAAATAATTGACTTCTTAACTTTTTCCAGATAAAAAAAACTTTTTGCTTTCATTTGTGCCGCAATAGAGATGAATCTATATGAAAATCTAGGCCGATACCAATATCAACTGTCATGGCTGATAATAAGATTTAATGTACAGATATATACCGTATTTTCCGGACTATAGAGCGCACCTCACTATAAGCCGTGCCCACTAAGTTTTTTTGAAAAACCTGGAAACGTACATATATGATGTGCAACGGGCTATAAGCTCAACTGTCTCCCACCAAACCTGTAGGGGGAGCTCTACATATAACACCTGCACTACGGAAGAAGAAGAATGCTAGCTTCTGTTAGCTTGTTGCTCGCAGAAGTAGGAGCTTCTATTGAAAGATAGCGCGTCATTAGTTCTTTATTTCAGCTCTGCAGGAGTTGAGCCCAGTCTCTTCATTGGTTCAGCAGCTTTAATAAAGCAAATAAATGTCAAAATGTGTGAATACGGAACATTTGTTTTAAATGGTGCCTGCTGCTAGCATGTTCTTTTGCTAAATGAAAATTAGCCTGTTATTCTTTCATTTCCAACTTTGACTTCCGTCTCTGGCGGTTAGGAAAAATCCACAGAAAAGCTGCTGCATGCAGCTTCTTATAAGCGGCTTATATTCCGGAAAATACGGTATATCTCTAACCTTTTGACATCATGAAAGGCCAACGACAGTGTTGACATCACTTCCTGCTTCGGCTTATAGCCCACACTGCATCACAACCCCTGTCACATGACAGGTCCCCCCTCCCTGACTCCCTTCCTCCTGAAACAAAACCAGCAGCATTTAAATGGAGATGAAAAATAGTTCATATATCGGCCCAGCATTAGTCTTTGGACGATCCAGATCCATCTGATACTGACATTAATGTGCATATAGCGTGCATCCCTAATTAGCAGCGAGGAACTGCAGCTCCATGGTTTCCTTTCCATTCATTTAGGACTGCTAAAGCTGCATTTTTCCTGTTCTTTTTATTGCTTTCCTTACTTTTTCCAAGTCTGAAGTTGTTCAACTTGTTTGCAAGAATGAAACTGAGTGGGAAAGCATCAGTGTGAAGTGTTCTGTTTTTTATTCTCTGGCTCTGCTCACATGTTCCCTCCAGAACTCCCACATTCTGAAGCCTATTCAGACTGATGAATCCTGCTTTTATTCTGCCAGTATTGAGGTATTTGTGTTGTTTTGCGTTTGCAGCTGTCCGCCCAGAGGACACGAGGGAAAGCTGACGGCTCCAGCGCTGAAACACAGCAGAGAAAGTGAGTTACTGAAGTTCTGCTGCTGCCTAGAAAGCTAGGAAACTGAGGGCAAGATCAAGTGCAGTGTGATCACAAGGTTCAGCAGAGGATCTGGGGGTAAAAAGGGAATTATTTGACAATAATCATCCATAGCAATAATGGACTTTTAAAAGACTTTTAAAAGGGCAATTTATTGTGACATTGAAATAAGAGACTGTGCTCTACAGTTTCACACTTCACATGCGGTGTTACTGAAAAAAAGAGTTATACTATGTGTATCCTGGCCAATGGTTAGAGAAGTGCGCTTGTGCTCTGAGAAGGTTGCAAGTACCCGGTTTGATCCCCGCAGCCTGGACTCTGGGTTCCTAAGCAAGACTTTAACCCATCTCTGCTCCCTGGGCGCTGCACAATGGCAGCACACTGGGATGAGTGAAATGCAGAGTTAATTTTAATAAAGGGATTAACATTTTTTTATATACATACATGTAACATTAGATCTTTCGTCTGTGAGATTACAAGTTACAAAGTTACAGCTTTGCAAAAATGCAACTACAAAACTCACATTTAAAGGTACAGAACTCAATTTTCCGAGTTCAAATCCTAATTTTTCATATATAGATCTAAAAGAACCGAGGTGAAGCTGTGTGACTGCTTACTAGTTGGTGGCAGTAATGCACCTTAAGGTTGTTCCAACTACCATTAAACAAGAAGAGGAAAACAACAAAACCATCAATCAAATATCTTGCTAAATATTGCTTTCAACGTGTCACAACCCGATCCATACCATCAGCTCATTTGCTCTTTTTATTTTGTAAATTAGATGATAATAATTTATTAGTAATAATAGTATTAATAAATTATGTTTTTCCCTCCCGAAAAATAGTAAGTGTACCAAACTATAATGTGTTAATAATGTATTTCCTGAGAAAAATAAATGTATTAAAACCCTTTAGATTATCAGTCGTCTGGGCGACTGGGATCAACGCTATACTCTTTGAGTTTTATTTTTTCCTTTCTTGTTAACATTACAGTATATAGTGTGTAACCTAAAGAAAGAAACAGCTAAAATGCAGATAAACATGGTTTAGTCATTTGGTTTTGCTGGACTGTAAAAAGCATCAAAATTCTCTCAGAAAAGTAATAAAACCTGTTTTAAAGATCTGTATTAGCATTCTTTAGTGAGTTAAGGATAAAAATAAGTACTTTTAGTACCATAATTACATTATTTATGAAAACACTGATGTATATATGGTTGCGCAGGTGCAAATGAGCTGATGGTACGGATGAGACGGATCGGGTTGTGAAACGAGCATCATGTTCCGTTGAAAGTTCTCAGACAGAAAGTTCTCAGACTGTACAACGAAACCCTGCGGTTTCATTGTACAGTGTGAGTTCACAGCTCACGATGTATGTTCTCACACTGTGCGACCCGAAGCTCTAAAGCGATCTACCTGCTAACACTGTACGTCTAAAAACCACGTCAGACTCAGCTCTGCAGTGAGATGGCGCTACTCAGATTCGTCTATTCCGAAGCCAAACCAGTAGAAGAGGAATATGAAGCTCTCCAGAGAGAAACACGCTGCCTTGGCAATTTGTGCAATTTTTTGCTTCAAGCCCTAAAAAGAAAAGACAACGACGTATTTGGACAAAGACATGGCTGAACAAATGTGACTACTATTGATTTAAAATCAAACATGTTATATTTTCTCACGATTCCTGATTGGGAAGTGGTCATGAGAGGCTGATCGCCCGTCGTTAGCCCCTGTATACCGCATGACACACGATCAGGCTGAAAGTCAGCCCGATCGAAAAATTTTCGAGCAAGTGGAAAGTCGGCCCGAAAAGGGCAAAAAATCGCACAGTGGAAGCCCGGCTTTAGCTACTCTACCGCCACCGGCTGGTGGGGAGTGTAACAGCTTTATCATTGGTTGTAGAGTTGTACTTGAATTTTTGTAAAGGTTTCTCCAAATGATTTCTAACCTTGTATTTAAATCCTACATTTATCAACATTATTGATCCACGTTTACAAAGCCGGACTTCTACTCAGACATTTCCATTAACAGCTAATTGTCTGTTGCTTCCTGTCATCTCATGGTAATTGTCTACCTGCCATTTTACAGGCAAAACTCTGGGGAGGATTTCGACGTCTACCTCCAGAATGTTAAAGCTCAGTCGGATGCCTTCAGGAGCAACAGTGAGTGACATGTTTCTATCGATTCAAACTCCGAATGTGCAAAGAAAAGTTTGGATCTCTGTTTCAAGACTCGGTGGATTTCAGAAAAGAAACGCAGCATTTAAGTGTTGCCTGTGCGTTTGCAGGACTTCCCTCTGAAACAAACGCATTGACTCCCAACACCGAGTACAGCTGGGATTTCACCACTAAGACCCGCTCCACCAACGATGATGGGACCTCACTCGATTTGGAGTGGGAGGATGAGGAAGGTGAGAGATTTTTAATCTGCTGCTTATATTTGATAGAATTCTCATAAAATTTCTATCAGTGATGTTTTGTTAATATTAGATTTACTAAGATAAATCTGTGTGGTACAAACAAGGTAGTCTAAATTACCAGACATTATATTCAAACATTACTTTTAAATGTTCAGGGACCTCTTCCCTTAATTATGGGGATTTCTGGTTGTCGTTATAACAACTTTTTCTTCATTGTATCTTAATCTGCTTATTTTTAATATGGTAATATTTTTTTATTCCATATAAACTATAGGGGGAGAAATGCCCTATCTGGTCTCCCTGAGCCAGTTACTATATTATTTTCCCACATGGGCAAATTTAACATATTCAGAGATGTTGCAGGGAGAAAATTCTCAATGGAATTGCACACAAATCCTAATTACTAAAGTTATACATTTAAGCTACCGAGTCAAATTACTCATCTGTACAGAAAGACCCAAAAAGAAAAATGTTATCATGATAAAATAAGGCTATATAACAAAGCATCCATCATGATTGAGTTTAGATCCTTTTTGAGCCTAAATAGAATTCCAGCACTGGGCTCAAAGAAAAGTGGCGCCATCTGCTGGCAATACCACAGAACTATCAAAAAGTCAGTTGGTGAAAAAATATATTGATTAAACATATCTACAGCAATGAATCCTCCCCAGAGCCTCCTAACAGAACATCGCGGAAAAAGGAAAAATCCTGTTAATAACAAATGCAAACAGGGACATAACATGAAGTTGAGAAATAATTCAATGAAATGAATAAAAATAAGTTAAAGGTGAAATGTTTCATGGGAATAAACACAAATTAAACACCTTAAAATGATCAACAACAGTTTGAGCCCTGGATTATACATTATCTGATCTTAAGGAGGCTTCTGGATACTAGCAACTGTGACAGAAAAGCAAGTGTTTATATGCATGCTGAGCAGATTATCAGTCGCCATAAACCAACACCTCAGTTGGATTACAATTTCGAGTAGAATAGAAAATCCCTTTAGAATCAGAATCAAGTTTATATTTTTTATAGGTTTGCACTTACAGGGAATTTGACTTGGCTTTGATGGTGCAGACAAATTATATATATAGAGAGAGAGATATAGATATACATAGATATATATACATAGATATAGATAGATATAGATATATAGATATATATTATAGATATACATATATAGATATATATATATATATATATATAGAGAGAGAGAGAGAGATAGAGATATATAGATATGTGTGAGTGTGTATATGTGTGTGTGTGTGTGTATATATATATATATATATGTGTGTGTGTGTGTATATATATATCAAATTTTTGTCTGCATTTGTCTATCTATATGTATGTATATATGTATGTATACACAATACAGGCTGATATAGTTATATACAATATAAACACACAATATACTAAATATAATGTATAGTATATAGCTATATACTATATACACAGTAGGCTGTGCATTAAGAAGGTCTGGAGATGCTACGTTGGTGTAGCGTCCTGAACGGGGGAGAGGCATCGTCAGTGTTACCGGGTCTCTGGGCCTTGTTTATAAGCCTGGTAGCGTATGGGGAGAAACTGTTCTTGTGGCGTGAGGTTTTGGTCCTGACAGACCGCAGCCTCCCACAAGAGGGAACTGACTGAAATAGTTAGTAGAGAGGGGTGAGGGATTGGCCACCATCTTCCCTGCACGCCTCAGAGTCCTGGAGGCGTACAGGCATGCAGGGAAGATTGTGGCTGATCACTCTCATTGACCCACAATGGGCAATTTGTGGTGTTACAGCTGCAAAGGCATTACAGCAAAAGTGATCACACAATGTGGACATTAAAAGCTTATAAAAATAACAGAATAAGTAACAGAGTTTAAAAATAACCAAAATACCGTACTGTACAATATTTTTTACAAATATAAATACTGTGCGGTCACCCGAAGACTAAATAATCAATATACAGCTGTGGACATTTTTACAGTGGTGGATTTAGAAAAATGGCAGCAAAACCAGAGATCTGCAAAATGAGCAGCAGCTTGTTATTTAAGTAACTAAGGTAGAAACTGTACAAAATCAGCAACAACTTATTGAGATTTCATTCAAATTCTGCAGAATCTGATCAGAATGTTCTGACCGAGATGTTTAGAGGACACATCTGCTGATCAGCTGTTTATTTAGAGGACCTCTGTCCCTGTAGACATAGCTACAGATGATACGATAAGTGGTAGCAGGAGGTAATTGTTGCTGCACATGGTCCTTGAATTTAAAGGTATAATGGAGGATGTTCTTTTTGCAGTTGGATCATCTAAATTAGAGTTTCTCGTAATTGTCAGTCATTCTGGTGATATCTTTATGTAAGGCTGTCCTTCATGCTCATCCCCATTTTCACGTACCGGCAGCGGGTCTGAAATCGTGGAAAAATTGAAAATCTTCTTTTTGAAAGTAAGCTTGTATAAGTGATGCAAACAGCAACTTTTAAACAGAGCATGCACAAGGAGAAATTAGCTTTTGCATGATCTCGCTTGCTATAATAGGCGTTCCCTTTCAGGAGTGGCTACAGGGTTGTGCATGTGCAATTAGTAGGCAAAAGTAGACTGGAAGGAAGGGGGGTATGAGATAGGGGGCGAGACATGCGGAAAAGGACCACAGGCCGGATTCAAACCCGGGTTAGCTGCATTGAGGACGAAAGCCTCTGACACAGGTCATGCATACTAACCACTGCGTCACCTGCACGCCCGCAATTATTTTTTAAAGTTGAAACTGTGGGTCTTTTAAAAAAGTCGTGAATCCTTCACTGTACCTTTTTAATATAACTGATTCCTCAAATTCAAATTAAGGAAATTAGTTCCTGGAAATTCCTTTACGTGTCCTTTAGGGCAGGCATCCCCAATCTCGGTCCTCGAGGCCCGCTGTCCTGCAGGTTTTAGAGGTTTCCCTGCTTTAGCACACTGATTATAATGATTGCAGTAGACCAAAAGCCTGTTAATCAGCTTTCAATTAAAATCAGCTGTGCTGGAGCAAGGAAACCTGTAAAACCTGCAGGACAGGGGGCCTCGAGGACCGAGGTTGGGGATGCCTGCTTTAGGGAACTGGCATTGTTAATAAGGCAAGTGGCAGATGGGAAGATTATTTTTTGGTTATTAGCTGGAGCAATGTGAAAAGTTTCATTCACTTGAAGTAAATTATGAATTTTTTTTCAGTCTGTGCTACTTAACTTCCTTCATTTTTGATTCAAGGGCAAATTAAATGTGTATATTAAACCTTAAGAATTGTTCCAAAAGGCGCTTGAGTTAAAAAAAAAAATTGTCCTTCCTTCACAGGGATCAACCGGGCACTGCCGGCCTGGGAGCGTTCTCGCACTGAGGAGGACATCTTGCGGGCGGCTCTGAGACCGGGCAGCAAACAGGTGAACAGTGGGCCGACCTCGGCCTCTGAGGACTCCAACGCTCTGGAGTGGGAGAACGACTTTGTGAGTACTCACCCAGAGGACAGCGCAGACGCTGAGTTCGAAGGGTTTGTCAATCCTGTCTTAGACACTCCCTCAGAAGACGCCTCGGACTCTGGCCTCAGAGCAGACAACCAGGACAGATAGTGTCCAGCACCAAAGGGGACGTTTGTCTTCGCCTCACCAGCTTTTTGCCTCATCAATCAGAAATGTACGTCTTCATAATCTGTAATGAATCTGTGATGCTGGAGAAATGAGGAATGGATCCACTGTCAGTTTAAAGAAGATTTGATCAAATACATGTTTTCAGTGCCTTCATCTGCTAAAGTGTCTGACATTCAGCTTTGGAACTGGACTTTGTTTACCGTTTGAATCATTATTTGGTTACGATTCTTTTTTTGATGATCCGTGCTTGGCTGAGGGGACTAAAATCAGATTGTATTATAAACATAACTGTAAAAACTAACCAAGCTTAGATGGAAAAAATGCCTTTTTTCACAGCGTTGGTTTAGCAAATAGATATTTACGTGGAGGAAATATTAAAAAGCAGAAAAAGAAGCGACTGACTCGAGGATCTTTTTGCTAGTTTTTAAGTTTTGATCTCTGAGTTTTGAGAGTAACAGATATTGTAGGAATACAATTGAAATCAGATTACCACTCTTTATGAAAAGTCTTAAGACTTTTCTAATTTGCCCAAATGTTTTTAATTAAATTACCAGTTTACATTTTAAATTTTGGTTCATAGGATTTCTGGTGTCCTCCTTTCATCGTTTCATTCCTGATGACAGAATCTTTATTCGTTTGTACGCGGCCTTCCCTCCCTGCTTCCTGCTCAACTTCTCATTTCTCAAAGCGATTTGCTTCGTCGCCTTTCGGCCATTTTGTAATGGTCTTGATGTAGCAAAGGGTTATTTTATATCTGGAATAACTGGTTGTATCTACGCTTTCCCTTTCTGGCAGATGACCAAAGATTATCTTTTATTATTCCCACAATGCATGACACTGCCACCCCCGTGCATCACAGTTGATTTCCAGCCTCCATCAAAATATAACAACAGCCACTGAGGCCAAATACTTCTACTGAATTAATTCACTCAAACCAGAGGGTGTTTCTGTTTTCGGTGTATCTTTTGGGGGGGAGGGCTCCTTGATTTCTGAGAAACTTTTCTGGCAATCAGACTATCCAACCAGCTTTGGCCCGTATCATCATTGTTTTCAGCTTGGAGTCGAGGCATGCACTTTGGTACGAAAAGAAATGTTAGCCTTTAAGGCACAGAATCCACTCTCTTCCCAAGATGTTCAGAAATGTGTGTCATTGTCTGAACAGATGAACGTAGCACTATCAGGAATCTAGAGATTGTACCTTAGAATGACTCTGTTAAGATTAGCCATCGTCTTCCTGCTAAGTTTTTTTTTTAAACCGTCACACAAGCAACATGATGCAGAAAGTGTGCTTGTATAAAAAGAACTTCAAAGTTAGAGCTTTAATTTAGCAAATCCATCACCAGGAAACATTTGCAGCCAAGACATCATTGGGCATTTTTTCTCTTTGTCTAAAAGCAGTGTAGTATTGCAGTTCAGAAACTACTGAATTTGAAGAGAAGAGATAATTATAAATTCTGTAATTCCAGCTTTTCCCAAATAGATAAATGGTTGTCCCTTTAAACAGTGTACGTGATTGATGGCTTTTATTTATTAATTTTTTTTTCCTTTTTCATTTCCAGACATCTAAATGTCACTTTCTTGTCCAGTTTCTGGGATGCTTTGCTCACTTGTTAAAGCAACACTGTGTAACTTTATACCCAAATATTAGCCTTAATTTGATAGATGAATTATCAGGTAATCTTGCAGGTCTTGGTGTGTATCGATGCTCCATCCAGGCTGCTCTCCTCATAAACGTTCCTATGTAACTTTAAAGGGTCAGATCTGTCCCTGAATGAGTCATGTGACCCAGAGCGCTGCTTTACAGCAGTCTGAGATCCCCTTAAACACCAGAGCTAACTAAGCTAACAGTTGTTAGCCAGATGTGACCCTGACCTGATCAGACACATTTGCCTCTTTAGTTTTGGTAACTTATCTAGACAGGTTAGTTCAGTTCACTCTGGATTGATTCATTTTTCTCCTTTAGAAGGCTTCAAAATTGGGCATGAATCAAAAATATCTCCCACAAGCCCACTGTGACACACTGCTGCGGGATGATAACCAGCCCTAAAAGATAAGGTAATGCTACCTACTGCTAGCTTGCTACAATAGTGCTTATATACACAATAAGCCCACCGTGAATTCATTTAAAGCTTGAAGATCCTGGTTCGCTATTAAGCTGTGAAAAGTCGTCTACTCCTCCCCCACCTGTTTCTGCTGCTTCCATATATGGAGGGTGATGATTGGCAGAATAGAATAAATAACTCATGAAATAATTATTTAAATGCGTCACTAATTTATTTAGACTGGAAATAAATGCAGATTATACTTCCTATTTTATATTCATTTAAACTGTCACACATCCATCAAAGTCAAAGAGGCGGGACTAGAGTATCACCGGTTCACGTTCTCAACCCAACTGCATAAAGAGGCAGGAGTTACTTATCCATTGTGTTGAAAATAAACGGCACAGTGTTTGAAAAAAAAGTAATTTACAGCTTTTGCAGTGAAAATATTGACATTGGACAGAAAAGAAAGCAGGAAGTTGTCTTATGTTGCTCGGTAAGAAGCATCCAATCAGACGTAAGGGTTTCTATGGAGGCCGTCCTAGTCCCGCCTCATTGACTTTAATGGACGTGTGGCAGTTTAAATGAATTCATGGTGTGCTTCAGCACAGAAACATTGAATTATTTATTAAATCATTGCCTTCACTTGACCAACATATAATTGATTCTAAATGTATTAAAGTCGTAGGGAAATCATATTTTAATGTTAAATCATTCTGGCTTAAACATGTGTATAAATGTATTTTTTTATCATATTCTCCCAAAATTTGTAAAATTTCTATTTTTAAAAAATCCTGTCTTAAAATCTGTGTTTTTTCCGTTATCTGATGTAGGCCAGTTAATTATACGTCAGCCTGAACACCTAAATTCGGCCAATACAATACCAACGGTCATCTGTCAATCACATTTTTTCGGTCATAGCAATTTTATTCATATGTCGCAGCTAATATTCGCAGCTTTCCTCCTCTAAATAAAAAATGTACGACGGAGGAGACTCATCCACGACCTCCGACACTAAACTCTCCTCCTCTTGCATGTTTCCTCTGTCCATAGCGTTCCTTGACAGTGTCGTTTCTAAGTCACCAATTTAGTGCTACTTGGTCCCAATGGAATTTCCCATTTGGAACCTACTAGCACTAAGTTGCTAACTGGTTAGCAAGATGCTTCCGACAAACCGGCCACAACAATCCCGCCCTCTTGATAAACGACCAATCACATTCATTTTATTCACTCGTGTAAAGTCGCGCACCACTTGGAAAATTTCGGAAATGCAACAGTTGGAACAGCCGCTTCCCTACGACCTTAAATACTGTATTTAATTCTATTTTAATAAACGACTGACACATTTTTTCAGTTGTTTGTTTTTTTATATTCTGGCATCACCCTCCATATCCCAGATGTGTTCTGTTTGTTCTTAAACTTTGAAAATGCCCACATAGGGAACGTGAAAACGATTAAAACTTATGAAAAGATCAATAATGTCAGACATTTGACATCGTGTGTGAGCGTTCATAAGCACAGCATGTTAGCATGCACTGCTAGCAAAGAGGCTCTGACATCCAATCAGTCGGCTCCAGGTCACATTTTATAAATGTGGGAACATTTACAGATGAAAACCATCTGTATGTTCAGCTCATTTTAGGTTATTGAAGCCCACATCAGGGGGAAACAAGCATTTAATGAACTGTTAGACCTGGAGTAAACAGCCTTGGGTTGATTCATCTCTGTTCTTCTCCATCTGCTCTCTTTAAGGTGTTGTGAAATATCCAAAGGAATGAGCAGGTTTATGAACATTTAATGCCACAGTGATTGAGAAACTTTATAGGAGATGTAAAGTTTGATTAATTTGTAAACGGGTTGCTCTGAACTGTAAACTGGAATTAATCTGATTCTTCTAATAATGTCTGCATGTCTCAAAGTGGTTTTCACTCCGATCACTTCGGTTCAATCAAATCAAAAGCTCATAGGTTGCAGCTGGATGGTATAGATGGAGGAAAAAGGATTTGGAGGAGGTGCACCATGGGATTCTTTTTTTTTTTTTAAAGGGTAATTTTTAACACTGTTCGATATGTTTTGTTGTGATTACTGTTTGAAATTTGTTTAATCATGTAAATTCTTTACAAAAAAAATCTATATATATATATATGTGTGTATAATTCAACATTCCTTGTCACAATGAGCTTGAAGAAGAAAATAAAATGCATTATTTTAAATGCTTGTTTCTAGTGTTGTTTTCAAAGGTAGTTTGTAAAATATTATGTTTATGTGTTCTATGTTTTTTACAATCCTTGCGATGTGCTGCCAAAATACGAATGAATGCAGAAATGTCCCGTGAAACGAGTAGATGTAACAATTTAACTATCAATTCATTTCAGTTTGAATTCAATTCGTCAGAATGATTTTAACTAATGAAAAAGATTAATGTAATTAATCACTTTTGTTTTATACTAGCAGGAACCTTCGTTTTTGCTGCTTCACTAATGAACAAGCTAGCCGTTTCTGCCAGGATTATTTGTTAAGCACTTAAAAAAATAACCACAGCTGACCAAAGTGCTGAACAGAAAAAGAAATAAAACATCACTGGAGACAAAAAGGATCCAACATGGGTAAAAAGTAACATTTAAACAATAAAAGCATTAAAATTTGTTAAAGATGAAATTATAAAATAAAGCCATCTGTCTTGCTAGGTGTCTAAAGCCAAATGGAAATGGTGGCTATTGAAAAAGGATTTAAAACCAGTCAAAGAAGAGGCCTGTCTGATGTGCTGAGGCAGGCAGCTCCAGAGCTTTGGAGCTGCAACAGCGAAACCTCGTCCCCCTCTGAGCTTCTGCTTAGTTTTAGGCTCTATCAGGAGCAGCTGACCTGAGAGAACGAGTAGGTCTATAAAGATGTAGAAGCTCACAGAGGTATGATGGGGTGAGACCATTCAGGGATTTAAAAGCAAATAAAATAATGAAATTCATTCTGAAATATATGAGCAGCCAGTGGAGTGAAGCTGAAATAGGGGAGCTGTACTCATACTTGACGCAGCATTTTGAACCATCTGGAGATGGGAGATGGAGGAGGCACATTCCTGACGCCGTTACTGGGTTTGTTCAGATTACCCATGGAGTAACTGGGCGTCCAAAATTTGATGTATTCTGACACCCTGTTACATTATCTAAACCAACCTGTTGGGAGAGTCCAACCATACCACCTAGAGAACTGGAGAGTCTACCTACTCTGTTAAAGCCCCCAAAACCTGCTAAGATTAAAGCAGGGAATAACAGGCTGCTTTAATCTGTTCCCCCTTGTAACTTTACAAAACAAAGGACTATCACCTCCAAAGTTTCAGGAGTGATTTGTCATCATAAAATATGTTTATAAGCCAAAAATGAAAAAGCTGGGACTCTTTGTGTCCAATTTAGACAGGGGAGACAAATTAAAGCAGAGACAGACAGCCTGATAAAATCTACAGCAAACAATATGGTTGATGTAGTTCAAGCCTAGTGTCTGATCATAATCTTAAGACTGTGTATATTTCTATGTTGCATGTGTAGAGTTGATGGGGATACCAATTCTGGCAATATGGGATGAAATAAAACGCTTGATGTTAGAACAAAGACTGATTATTAAGGATAGTACAACATAGAGAAATTATAAGTTAATAAAAAACACAAATATAGACTTAAGTACTAAATTTCACATAGGAAAAAATTGTTTTCCTACTGGATATAGACCTTAATGTTTACACGTACACTCCAATATCTATTTTATTTTTATTACAAGTATATGGCTGACAACAGTTTTCAATGGGATGAGAACATGAGAGATTTTTTTAATGAACGTGTTGAAATGAACAAAGAGCTGTTGGCTTTCAGAGAAAGGAGTAGACACTGCTGTCAGCGACCTGCCCTGAAGCAAACGCTTGTGTTTTCTTTTTTTATCAGTGTCACTGGTGATATATTCTGCTATAATATCGCCTCATTTCGTTATTTTGCACCAATGTGTTACTGGCCCTCCCAAATAACTCATATCTTTGTCAGAGAAGCTGCATGCTCCCACATCTCTTCCTTTATGGTGCCCATCTACATTAAGAGAGATTAAAGTTAGAATTCAGAGAGAAAAGTCAGAATTCCAGGATTAAAGTCAGAATTCTCAAAAAAAAAAAAAAAGATTAAAGTCAGAATTTTAAAAAATATAATGCCGATAAAAATCCACTAATTTAGTAATCCATTCATCCTTAACTGGAATATAGAGACTCTAAAACATAATTTTACAAAATTGCAAAAAAATATATAAACATTTTATAAATTTGTAAACAATTTATATTTAAAATAAAACAAAAATGTCATCTTTCATTATGCTCTATATTCCCCTAGTGGAAAAGATTTAGCTTTACATGGTTTAATTTTGTAAAAAAAAAATCTTTTTTAAGGAATCTTTGGCTATCCAATTATTAATCAATTAATTGAAAAAATAATCAACAGATTAGTCTATTTGCTAAATAATAGTTCGTTGCAGCCACCCTAGAAGGTCTGAATTATTTAGGCATTTCGTCAATTGTAAGAAAAATTAGTAAGATAATGAGTTAAGATTTTTTTTAAACTCAGCCTATTACCAAATATTCATACACAGAGTAGTTTGCACAGGATTTGATTGCACTGGTTTCTTTATTAGCGCCAGTAATCCAGCGATTGCTCATTAACACCCCATTGTTTATTTTACTTGAACTGCATAGAATAATTAATAAACACAGTTGTGAAATTCTTAGTTTACAGTATATTTGAGATGCAATTATTTTAGTAGGGCCCATACTTCTTTATTTCAATTCTCCAAAAATCCCCAGAATATGAAAATTTATGTATATATATTTTTTTAACTTTACACATTACTGCAGATAATTTATTGTTATTCAGTAACACTTACTGTTCTTAAAAA